GGAGTGAGGGAAAAATATGGAAGAGATCAAAGGTACATGCAGGTGGAGGAGTTAACCTTGGAAAAGTGGTAGCTGTTTCTTTGATTTAGGAGAGAAGAGAAATAAAAGACACAAGCAGAGAAGTTGAGAGATGCTAACTGTGTTCATCTCCTCGTAAAGCGGGAGGCACGGGCCCCCAGAGAGAGAGAAGCCAGAGGCCTGGCTGGGGACTGGGAAGGGCAGTCAAGCTTACCCTGTTACGGATGGAAAAGGCGGCCAAAATGGAAGACGATTGCTTGGCAGAGAGGACCTAGTGGACGTTGTAGTTATTATACTTGTAAATGTAAATAAAACATGTAAATGAGTCAAGGAGGGCCTAGGACAGCAAAAGAAAATATTTTTCATATGGTGAATTTTAAAAATTATGTTAAAACATCCATCTACAATGGTACCCACTGACCACCACATCAATGTCACCTGAGATAGTTGACTTCACTGCTTCATCCTAGGTATGTTGTGTCAGAATTTCCAAATATGCTATGAATCTGTATTTTAAACCCGGCAGTTGAATGTCATGTGCTATTATGGTTGAAAACAACTGACAGTATGCTTTATTATTTTCTTGAGTCCATTATTCCATTTAAAAGCACAGTCATGTATTGGGGCAGTATAACTAAACACAAAATTTTCTCCCAACCCAGAAATCCTTTGCACAGAGATAGTGGAGATGAAAATACATTCATCATTGAATAAGCGTTAAACCAGAATGTGATGCTTAGCACAGGCAATCCACTAAGAGGTTGCAAAGGCAGAAAGGGGTCTCACTCTTTTACATAGTCAAGCAGAGGCGACCCCTTAAAACAGGTTTTCAAAGTAAATAATAACTAGTCCTCAAGTAAGAAAACTTGACACAATCATTTGCCACATATAGTTCATCCTGAACTTACCTGGTAATTGAAGTGACAATCTGTGTTAATGTATTGTCTTTATCCAAAGGAAAAAATTAAATTCTCGTCTCTTTATAAAAGGAGTTACTTTCACAATTTGGAGCAAGGCTCCCTCCAAAGAAGTTAGGCTCCACCCTCCTCAGACTGTGAGAGAAGGTACTATTTTCCTTACATTTCTGAGAGATGGTTCCCAGGTCCTTGAGAAAGACATCACCGGGTCATAAAGCTGACAAAAGCCCTGTATAATTTTCAAAAGGATTTACATACATTTCAAGGAGAATAGAAAGTACTTACAAGTTTTCTGATATAAATGGACTCTTCCTTTATTTTCAACAGGGAGAATTAAACTGCTTATTTTTAATTTGTATTTGTCCTTACACGTGTTAACAGTTTTAGCACTATTGGGTTCAGACCACAAATATCCAAACTTTCAAAATCTATGCATACATACACACACACACACACTGTTGCAACTTGAAATTTATATTAAAAAGATCTAAAATAAGATAAATCAAATAAATAAGATAAATCAAAAGTTCCAGGAGAGGCTTTAAGTTTATATGGGTGTTCTTTCCAAGTCAGCCCTTTTTTGCAGGTTGTTTGCCAAAGACCAGCATGAGCAAACAGAGCCTAAAGGTTAATTGCTCACTCCCCTCTTGACTTGTGGTTTCTCTTCCACAGCAGGCTCACCCTTGATGTCATCAGAAGCTCCACAAGCTGCTCAGATACTCAGCAATCGGATAGAATGAGAATGAGTCTGGCAAAGGAGAGGGGCTATCTAAATGCAAAGTAATGTTAATAATGATGAGAGTAACCATCTCACCCTATCTGACCTTTGCTGTTTCATGACATTAGAACTATTTTCTATAATTTCCATGGCATTTACCCTTGAGTGAAGGAGACCACCGTGGTCTAATTCATTTTAAATTTAA